CTCTCAACTAGGAGAGAGGGAGGTTGGCCTCCCCCTGTGCTGGCTGCCTCGGTTCCAGACAGCCCATAATCCCTGTGCCCGACCAAGGACACCCAGAGATGGACGGTCTAGCCTGTCTGCTGGAAATTCCCACTCGGCCACGCTGCAGTGGCCGGCTGCCCTTGGCGTTTTGGGGCTGTTTGTTTGTTACTGGCACAGTGTTAGAGATGGAACCCAGGCCTCTACCTGAGCCCCGCCCCCACCCTCTTTCATCTTTTATTTTGAGATGGTCTTCTTTCTTTCTTTTTTGAGACTGTCTCCCTGTGTAGCCACGGATTGCCTGGAGCTTGGTATATAGACCAGACTAGCCTGGAACTCAGAGACTCACCCTTGCCTCTGCCCAGGAGCACTTAACCCAGCCTTGGTGACTTAATTTCCCTGACTGGGGCTTGGGTCCTGCAGCAGCTGAGGTGCCCACACCACCAGCCAGCACAGCCTGTGCGTCTGTGGTGGGTTTGGAGGCTTGTAGCATGGGCAGGGTGGTGCCAGGGCCCTCAGCCGTCCCGGCTCCCTGGCTTGGCTGTGTGCCTGGATGCCCATGGTGCCAGGCCTTCCATCCCTGCAGCTCTGGGCCATCTCCTCGGGAGACCTGCTTCTGTCTGTCTTGTTTGACGTGGGCGTCACTTCTGTGACCATGGACCTGGCTGAGCATCATGTGTTCTGTGGCGGCAGCGATGGTTCCATCTTCCAGGTGGACCTGTACAGCTGGGTGAGTGGCCGCCAGGGGCTGAGGGGCCGTACAGTAGGTGCCCCACATCCCAGACACTGACAACTTGTCTCCACTGACAGCCTGGACAGAGAGAACACAGCTTCCGGCCCGAACAGAACACGGGGAAGGTCTTCAAGGGGCACAGGTAGTCACCTCAGCCGGGTGGGGTGGGCGCAGTCCACACCCATGCAGCACCCAACCCCACCCACCTGTCCCAGGAACCAAGTGACGTGCCTGTCGGTGTCCACGGATGGCAGCGTCCTCCTCTCGGGCTCCCAGGACGAGTCGGTGCGTCTGTGGGACGTGAAGAGCAAACAGTGCCTGCGGACCGTCACCCTCAAAGGTGTGTGCCGCTCTGGGTGAGGCAGAGCCCTGTCCCGCCAGCCAGGCCCTGATGTTGGGTTTTGGTGTGTCCCTCAGGTCCGGTGACCAATGCCGCCATCGTGCTGGCCCCGCCCAGCATGCTGAACCCTGAATTCAGGCCCAGCCTGCCCCTGCCCCACTTCAACAAGCACCTGCTTGGTGCTGAGCATGGAGATGAGGCCCAGGGTGGGGGCCTGCGCCTGCAGCTAGGGCTCCACCTGCAGGTAGGACCCACCACGAGGCCTGCATGCCGCCCACTCAGCCACTTCCAGAACATTCCATCCCCTAGAGTCCCCCTAGTGCCGGCGCCAACCTTTAATGGCCCGAGTCCTTGCCGCGAGGTCATTGACACCCACTGCCACGCCACACTTGGCACCTGTCCCCACGGGCGACTTCTGTCCAAAGGCACAGAGTGCCTCAGCCCACGTTCAGAAGGTGACTGTCATATTGCTCCCATCGTGTGACCAGGTCACTTGGTTGATGAAGAATAGAGCAGGATAGACCCTTGGGGCAGCCTGAGGTCAGGAGATGGGGAGCCTTAGAAAGCAGCTGGGCATGGGAGCTGTGAGGGGCTTCTGCCCAGCGTTCACACCCCGACCTCACTGGCACCCCACATAGGCCAGGGTGCGTCGGGCCCTTCCACAGAGGGTGGCGGACAGGGTGAGGACCTGGTGTGGCCTGGCTGCCACAGGCCCCAGCCCCCCTCCCCCGACTGTGAACCTGTGGAGGAGGCTGGCTCCCCCGGGGGCAGGCACAGCGGTGGCCATGCTACTTTGCAGGGCACTGAGCCGACCTACCTGGAGCGGCTGGAGCGGCTGCAGGCGGTGCTGTCCGGCTACATGGCGAAGGTGGGCGGGGTTCGTCCCGGCTGTGGGCGGGGCCTGGTGGGTCAGGCAGGAGCAGCCCCGCCCACACGGCCCTCTCCCTGCAGAACATGCTGGGCAATCAGATGCTGCCAGCGCGTGTGTTGGAGCTGGAGGAGGAGGTGCGCAGTCTGCGCAAGATCAACCGGGACCTCTTCGACTTCTCCACGCGCATCATCACGCGGCCCTCTAAGTGACAGAAACACTTGCCGTCGGCCTGTGGGCTGGTGTTTTAACAAAGAATGGACAAAGAAGCTGATGTCTCGACTGTTGTGTCCCTGAGGGGCCGGGGCTTGGTTGGGGGGCCTCACACCTTGGGGACATGGTGTGCACTGAGCCAGAGGACCCTGGGGTAGGGTGGGGTAGGTGAGGGGCTGACGGTGCAGAGCCCCTGCGCACAAGGGCCAGCCAGGCAGCCACCAGCCCCTCATGGGCATCCATAGCTCAGTCTCCACATACTGTCCTGGGTCTGCTGCCAGCCGTAGCCTGGAGTTCAGCCCAGATACCCACAGAACCTTCCAGAAAGCCGCACTCAACTGACAGCCCTGCCTAACGATCCAGAAAATCCGTGTGATTTAGCAGGGCTGTCTCCGCCGTAGCGCGGGTGGGAGCCAATGCTGACCTCACACCGGAACCCTGTCGCTGTGCCCTCGGGACATCCGCTCCTGGACGGCACCTGGTGGCAAGAAGTAACCATACTCTGAGGAGCCACACTTTCCTCAGTGTACCCACTGAGCTGGGTCTTTGCATTCTTGGCCCAGGTACCCTGAGCCCTCCCACCATTCCGGGGCTTGTTGAGGTTTGGGGAGAGGCCGGCACACAGGGACTCTACCAGCCATAGGTTCCCAGCTCCCCAGAGGCCTCTGGAGATTTCCTAAGACGAAGGTGAACTCAAGAGTCCCCTCCTTGGGAGTTCATGTTGCTGCCTACGCCTGGGATTGTGTGTGTGTGTGTGTGCGCGTGCCCTGCATTGCCACACACACTGCTCACCGGCTGTGGCTGGCCTGAACTCGGGATCCCCCTGGCCTAACCTCCCGTTCCCCCGATGGTGCTGCCTCCACCTGCCATGCTGACTGGCTCCTCTGGGGTCATGAGAAACAAGAGTTGTCCTTGGGACTCAGCTGTCATAGTTACCAGGCTGGTTGAATGCCAAGCTGCAGAAAGGCCCATGTTCCCAGTCTCCTGAGCACTGGGGCAGCCTGGACTAAGACCCCGCAGACCTCCTCATGTGACGGGAGAGACAGGGTGGAGGCAAAGGCCAGCACAGCCCCCGTGCCCACGGGAGGGAAGTGGACGCAGTGTGGAGGGACCTTGAGGACACAAGCCCAATGAGAAAGCTGGGCACAAAGTGCCACACACACTGCGGGACTCCGTGACATGAAATGTCCAGAACAGGGTTCTTGGGGATAAATTGGTACTTTGTGAGGCTCTCCCTATCCAAAAACAAGTCTTGCGTGCACTTCTTTTCATTCAGCTGGAGTGGAAGGTCCCACTCTGCCCTTCCGTTAGGAATGGTAGTGAATCCTGACAGGCTGCAATCCATCTGCCTCGTGTTCAGTGGACTGAACAGAACCGACGTCCAGGACTGTTTGTAGACTGAAAGAGTACCAGCTGGCATTGTGGACAAGGGCAGATTTCAGAGGACTCCAAGGGGATGAGGCTGGTGGCACTTCAGCCTCAGGGAGAGTGCCCTGAGCATCCCTGAAATGACGTGGTGGCCCCAACCCTGATGGACCCCTAACCTGATGTACCTTGGAGCCCTGGCCGAGCGCCGAGACAGCCGCCATCCTCAGAGCCAAGCCGTCTCATTAAAAGGCAGCTCAAAGTGCAGTCTGTCTTGCTGGCATTTTTATTTGCTTGATGGATGTTTTTCCTTTAATGCTGGCTCTGCAAGGAGAATGAGGATTTGGGGGTGGTGGGGTGGTGAGTGTAGATTCATTCATCAGGGCTGAGTGTTCCCTGCAGCGGGCTGCCGCCGCGCATGATCTTGGGAGAATGCCATATTTGCCCTGCCTGTGAGGACAGACCACAGATTCCCGGCAGGAGCCTCCTTGCTGGGGAAGCCTTTGGTCCCTGATCCTACAGGCCACACGAGTGGACCCCGAGTCAGTTGAGTTGGGGGACCAAGAAAACTGGGCGCTCGAGACGGTTCTGGAGTGGTGGAGGAGGGAAGTGTAAGCAATTGCTCAAGCAGTTATGGAAGGCCTGCTGTATGCAAGCCCCTGAGAGGCAGGAGTAACTGAACTGGGTCTACCCTTATCCTCCCTGAACTGAGAGGGGCCAGTGGTCCCTAAATGAGCCAATAGGAAGATGAGCCTGTGGGAGGGATGTGATGTGTATTCTGGGTTTTTCACAGCAGGGCATTTGACACTGGATCGTGAAGGTCAAAGCGTTCTGGAGGCCAGAAAGATTGCTCTGTGGTTAGTTCTGATTGCTTTCGCAGAGAACTTGACTTTGGTTCCGAGCACTCATGCTGAATGGCTCATATCCAGCTCCAGGAGGTCCAGTGGTCCCTGAGAGCACCCACCCCCACACAAGAACCATTGAACCCCAGCACTACGGAGGCAGAGCCAGGTGGATCTCTGAGTTCCAGACCAATCAAGGCTATGTGATGAAACCCTCTCTCAAATGAATATTACTACTAATAATTTTTGGTTTTTCAAGACAGGGTCTTTGTGTATCCCAGGCTGTCCTGGAACTCACTCCGTAGACCAGGGTGGCCTCAAACTCAGAGATCTGCCTGCCTCTGCCTCCGGAGTGCTGGGAGTAAAGGCGTGCGCCAATAATAATAAATATTTTAAAAGAGAACAAAAGCCCCAAAAATAGCTCAGTAGGTAAATATGCTTGCTGCCAAGTCTGAGGACCCCACTTCGATCCTCAGGACCCACAGGGAGAGACAGACCCCCAAAAGCTGTCCCCACACTGGCTGTGGAATGCACCTTCCCCCAGAAACCCAAGACAAATACAGGGTTTTTGATTTTGTTTGCTTGTTTGTTTTGTCTTTTAAGTTTGTAACTCAAGATTGCTGCCAGGGCTGGAGGGCAGATCTACCTTACAGATTTCCACCAGATGTGCCTGCCTCAGTTTCCCCCAGGGTGCACACAGTATTGAGCTAGTCGAGACTGCTCTGGGAGTTCCCGTCTGGGCCGTGGGAGGCATTACCCAGCCCTGCCCTGTGAGCCACAGCAAACCCAGGCAGCTGCCCAGCTCCTCCTTCAGTGGACGCCGGGACCCGCAGGAGGGACGGGAGCGGGCTGTCCCAGGTGTCCCTTCTCCCCGCGCACAGTGGCAACTTCGGGATGGAGTCTGTGCGTGCGCTGTGGCTCGGCCTGGCGCTGGCGCTGGGGTCCCGGGTGGTGCGCGGTCACCCTCAGCCCTGCGGGGTTGCCACGCGTGCCGGGGGCTCCGGCGGCTCCGTGAGACTGGCTGCGCTCCTGCCCCGCGCGCCCGCCGCCCGCGCCCGCGTCCTGGCCGCCCTGGCCGTCCCCGCGCCGCGGCTGCCGCACAACCTGAGTCTGGAACTGGTGGCCGTCGCGTCCCCTGCCCGGGACCCCCGCGTCGCTGGCCCGAGGTCTGTGCCAGGTCCTGACACCGCCCGGCGTGGTGGCCTCGGTAGCCTTCCCCGAGGCGCGGCCCGAGCTGCGGCTGCTGCAGTTCCTGGCAGCGGCCACGGAGACCCCGGTGCTGAGCGTCCTGCGGAGGGAGGCGCGTGCGCCCCTCGGAGCCCCGGTACGCGGCGGGCGGGCGTGGGGGACCCTGGGGCGCGGGGATGGGAAGCAACCCGGAGCCCCACACTTCTCCAGCCAGGTGATGGAGAGGACCCCTGTTCCAGCCCTTCTCTCGCAAGCACGCCTTGGCTAGGAGGGTGCTCCACTCTCCTCTCCCTGGGCTTAGCCAGTGTGGGAAATCCTTCCAGAAGTCCGTCTTTCCCTCCCAGGGGCCCTACAGGCCAGGAACTCCCTACCCACAGCTCTCTGGTGGCCTCCAGCCCCAGGGCAGCGCTGGCCACCCCCACTTCCATGTGACCCATCCTCGCTAGGTCTTCTATTATTATTTTTTAATTACTTAATGTTTTGAGACAGCCTCTCACTGTGTAGACCAGGCTACCCCTGAACTTACAGAAATCCACCTGCCTCTGCCTCCCGAGCGCTGGGATTAAAGGCGTGCGCCTCGCCCCCTGACCAGGTTGTTTCTTCAGATAGGGCCGCGTGTATCTGCAGCTGGCTCTGGGCAAGCTGGTCTCACTCCGGACCAAGGCAGGCCAACAGAAGGCCCCACCAGGGCTAGGGACCCTGGGACATGGGAGACCTGAGGTCCTCCTCACTAACCTGTCATGAAGTTTCATCCAGGGAGACCCTAGCCCCAGGGGAGGGTCAGTGACCCATGTCCCTGGGTTCCCTGTATCCCCCCAAGGACCCCTGGTCTAGTGGGAGCTCAAGACTGGAGCTGAAGCTGCCCCTGCTCTGGAATCGGCACCCACCTGTGCCTCCAGCCTCTGAGCCAGGCCTGGCTCCCCTGGGGTTGGCCAGAGAGTGGCACCCTTCTATGCTCCTCAGCAACGTGCCCCTGCTCGGCAGCACCCAGCGGTTGTTCGGTGTCTGCCAGGGCTGCTGTGTATTCCAAATGTGCAACACAAACCCCTAAGAACTTTCTGAATGTACCAAGGGACTCCTGAGCGGGTGGGGTGGGACTAGGTCAGGACTGAAATGGGAAGTGACAGAGACACAGAGAGAGACAGAGACAGAGAGAGCAGAAACCCAAGTTTGGGAGAACTCGGGAGAGGTGCAAGGTTCTCCCTGGTCTATAGAGAAGGGACAACAGAGCTGGGTCTTGAAGGATGTATAGGAGTTGATCGACGTGGAAAGGGCAGGGTATTGTAGCTGGTTGAAAGCTATATGTAAATAAAACACGGGAGGGCTGGGGACAGGGTTCTTTTGGTAAAACGCTTGTCCAGTACGCCTGAAATCCTGGGTTCCATCTCAGCGTGGCATACACTGGAAGCAGCAGTACATGCTTGTCATCTCAGGGTGACATCCCAGAGGTAGGGGGATCATGGGTCCACGCTTGTCCTTAATTATGCAGCAAGGTCACGATCAGCCTAAGGGGCCGGCAGAGCAGTACTGGGGAGCCACCGAAGGAGGCAGGGTAGGTGACATCCAGCCCTGACTGGAACCACCTCTCCCCAGACTCCGTTCCATCTGCAGCTGGACTGGGCCAGTCCCCTGGAGACCATCCTGGATGTGCTGGTGTCCCTGTTACAGGCACACGCCTGGGAGGACATTGCTCTAGTGCTCTGCCGCGTCCGGGACCCTGGTGGCCTCGTGACACTCTGGACTAGTCGTGCTGGTCAGGCCCCAAAGTTCGTACTGGACCTGAGCCGGCTGGACGGCGGGAATGACGGCCTTCGGGCCGGACTGGCCCTGCTCGGGGCCCTGGAGGGAGGGGAGAGTCTCGTGTCTGCAGCTGTCCTCCTCGGCTGCAGTGCTGCCCGTGCACATGAGGTCCTCGAGGCTGCGCCACCGGGTCCCCAGTGGTTACTGGGCACACCGTTGCCTGCTGAGGCACTGCCCACAGCTGGCCTGCCACCTGGGGTACTGGCCCTGGGAGAAATCAAACGACCCTCCCTGGAAGCTGCCGTCCACGACACGGTGGAGCTTGTGGCTCGAGCACTGGGCAGCATGGCCCTTGCACACCCAGAGCGTGCCTTGCTTCAAGCTGCGGTCGGCTGTGAGGACCTGAAACCAGTTGGATCCGAGTCGTCCGGGCACACCTTGGCTCGGTGAGTAGGGTCCAGCTTAGGGGCAAGAGGCCAGGCCCACAGCTGGCACTGCCCCCTGTGTGTCAGGGGGTGGGTGCCCCAGTAGGAATAGAACCTAGAGGGTCGGGTGGTTGTCCCTGCAGCCTCAGGACTAGAGCTCCCGTGGATTCCAGGCGGGTGCTAGCTGAGTGAGAGGCGGGTCTCTCAGATTTATGACAATCCCTACCCTTTATATTCCCCAGATTTCTGGGCAACACCTCCTTCCAGGGCCGCACAGGGGCTGTGTGGGTGACAAGCTCCTCTCAGGTGCACGTGTCTCGGCATTTCAAGGTGTGGAGCTTGCGCCGCGACCCACTGGGTGGCCCAGCCTGGGCAACAGTGGGCAGCTGGCAGGATGGACATCTGGACTTCGAGCCAGGGGCAGCGGCTGTCCGTGTCCCATCTCCATCTGGCACCCAGGTGCGGCCGAAGCTGCGGGTGGTAACTCTGGTGGAACACCCATTTGTTTTCACCAGGGAATCCGATGAAGATGGGCAGTGCCCGGCTGGGCAGCTGTGTCTAGACCCGGGCACCAATGATTCGGCCAGGCTGGACGCGCTGTTTGCAGCGCTGGCCAATGGCTCAGTACCCCGCTCACTACGGAGATGTTGTTACGGCTACTGCATCGACCTGCTGGAACGGCTGGCCGAGGACCTGGCCTTCGATTTTGAGCTCTATATTGTGGGCGATGGCAAATACGGGGCCCTGCGTGATGGACGCTGGACAGGCCTGGTGGGCGACCTGCTGGCTGGCCGGGCACACATGGCTGTGACCAGCTTCAGTATCAATTCGGCTCGCTCCCAGGTGGTGGATTTCACCAGCCCATTCTTCTCCACCAGCCTGGGCATCATGGTGCGCACACGGGACACAGCCTCGCCCATCGGGGCCTTCATGTGGCCCCTGCACTGGTCCATGTGGGTGGGCGTCTTTGCCGCCCTGCATCTCACGGCGCTCTTCCTTACCCTGTACGAATGGCGAAGCCCCTATGGGCTCACGCCACGCGGCCGCAACCGTGGTACTGTCTTCTCCTACTCCTCCGCACTCAACCTCTGTTATGCCATCCTCTTCGGACGCACGGTCTCCAGCAAGACGCCCAAATGCCCTACCGGACGCTTCCTCATGAACCTCTGGGCAATCTTCTGCCTGTTGGTGCTGTCCAGCTACACGGCCAACCTGGCTGCCGTCATGGTTGGGGACAAGACCTTTGAGGAGCTGTCTGGAATCCATGACCCCAAGGTGGGGGCTGGGAAAGCTGAGGGGTCAAGGGTTGTGGCCAGGGTGGGATGGGCACTGCGTTCAGCAGGAACTGCGGGTGACTGTCTCCAGCACACGCCCTTCTCTGGAGACTCACTTAATTGCAGTGCTGGAAATGGAATCCATGTCCTTGTCCCATGCCGGGTATAGACTAGACCCCAGCCCCTCACTGGGGGATTCTGGGCGGGGCTCCACCCTGACCACGCCCCCAGCCCCTCACTGGGGGATTCTGGGCGGGGTTCCACCCTGACCACGCCCCCAGCCCCTCACTGGGGGATTCTGGGCGGGGCTCCACCCTGACCACGCCCCCAGCCCCTACCTGGGGGATTCTAGGCTGGGGCTCCACCCCTGACAAGGCCTCCATTTTTAAGCATCAGTTCTTTAAAAAAACTGCCTCCCGCTGCAGGGATGACAGGCATGCGGAAGCACATCTGGCTTTATTTTTACCTTTCATGTTTTTGGAGTTCATGGTATGTCTCACAGCTCCTTCCCTCTTTGGAATCTAGCTGGTCGTGTCCTACTGACCACCCCCCCTCCCCCCCCACACACACCCAGCCTTGGCTACCCCTGCAACTAGGTGCTGCCCAATGCTCCAGCCACTGAACTGGTTTATGGCCGTGGCCAGGTGAGGGCTGGGAATGGGGGTGAGAGCAGAGAGAAATGGCGTGTCTCTGGGGTCCAAAAGTGGAGCATCTGTGGAGCTGATGGTACTGAATCTGAGCTCAGTGAGAAGTACCCAGTCTAGTAGGCCCTGGTGGGCACCCAGGCTGCCTCCTGATCACTCTCCTCCTCCTCCACAGCTGCACCACCCTTCCCAAGGATTCCGCTTTGGCACTGTGTGGGAGAGCAGCGCAGAGGCCTACATCAAGGCGAGCTTCCCGGAGATGCACGCACACATGCGGCGCCACAGCGCACCCACCACTCCACACGGAGTGGCCATGCTCACGTGAGTCTGTGGGGCACTGTGTGGCGTTGGGGGGCTGCCTACCACTCAGGGCCTGCTGACCTTACACGATCCTGCCCCACAGGAGTGACCCACCCAAGCTCAACGCCTTCATCATGGACAAGTCGCTACTGGATTACGAGGTATCCATTGATGCAGATTGCAAGCTGCTCACCGTGGGCAAACCCTTCGCCATCGAGGGTGAGTGCGTAGTGGGGTTCCGGGGACCCCAGCTGTGGGTGCACGCAGCTCTCGTGGAGCCACCTCCCACCCGGTTCAACCTCTCCAGGCTATGGCATAGGGCTGCCCCAGAACTCGCCGCTCACCTCCAACCTGTCGGAGTTCATCAGCCGCTACAAGTCGTCAGGCTTCATTGACCTGCTCCATGACAAGTGGTACAAGATGGTGCCTTGCGGGAAGCGGGTGTTCGCCGTGACGGAGGTGGGCAGGCGCCGAGACACAGGGTGGGGAGCTCTGGCTACGCTTGCGTGCATTCCTGCTCACCCTACACAGCCCCAGCACCCCTTCCTTCAAGAGATCTCCCTGCCCAGCTGCCCCGCCCCGGGGTCCACATCCCGACGCCATGTGGGGACCTTGTTGCCGTCCGCAGACGCTGCAGATGGGAGTCTACCACTTCTCGGGGCTGTTCGTGCTGCTGTGCCTCGGGCTGGGCAGCGCACTCCTCAGCTCTCTGGGCGAGCACGTCTTCTACCGCCTGGTGCTGCCGCGCATCCGCAGGGGCAACAAGCTGCAGTACTGGCTCCACACGAGCCAGGTGAGGTGGCAGGAGCAGAGGAGGGCGGGGCGGCGCAGAGGGCGCCCAGGCGCCCACTGACACACTTGTCTGTCCCTAGAAGATCCACCGAGCCCTCAACACTGGGACGCCAGAGGGGCAACAGGGGAGTGCGGAGCAGGAGCGCAGGTGAGCACGCGGCAGGGGCGGGGGTCCCGGGCGAGGACCAGGCCGGCTGTACCGGCCACCGCCTCCTTCTCTCCGTCCTAGCGGCCCCGGGCCCGAGGAGCAGCCGCGTGCAGCCGAGGGAGCAGGGCGCTGGAGGCGGGTGCGCAGGGCGGTGGAACGGGAGCGGCGCGTGCGCTTCCTGCTGGAAACCGGGGAGGCCGGCGGGGAACCGAGGCTCTGCTCCAACGGGCCCGGGCCGCAAGCCGAGCTGCGCGAGCTGGAGCTGCGGATCGAGGCGACGCGGGAGCGGCTGCGCAGCGCACTGCTGCGGCGAGGGGAGCTGCGGGCCCGGCTGGGGGACGGCGCCCGGCTGCGGCCACTGCGCCTGCTGCAGGTGCCACCCGCGGAAAGCTGAGGGACCACGCGGCCGCACTGTCCACGACAGTTTATTCTATATACAAACACGACTCTGTACACTGCAATTAAATAGCGTAGAACGTGCGCCCCGCGTCCTGAGCCGCCACCTGCGAGTCCGGGCTTGGGCGCTCGGCCCGCGCGGGCGCCGTGTGGAAGGCACTGGGGAGCACCAGGCGGCCGGCGGCCACGCGCCCACCGCACCTCGCTGCCCTGTCCCGGCCGCGTCCAGAACCTTCGCCGCCAGCCCCTCTCCCTGCAGACCACAGCGCTCTCGGGCTCCGGCCGCGGCCCCCGCCGGGAGCCGGTGACGGCTGGCTTTCAGGACCCGGCAGGCGCGGGCGCATCCTCCGGAGGGACCCCGGGGTCGGGGCGCGCGCTGTCCGGGGTGCTGGGGGCCGCCGGCCGCCGCTCCAGCAGCGAGGCGCTCAGCCCCGACAGGAAGGAGGCGTCCGAGATGATGGCGGCCGTCTCGGCCACCCAGCCGAGGTCGCTGCCCGACACCGAGGCCGCGGCGCCCAGCGAGCCGGGCCCGGGTGCCCCGCCGGCGGGCGCGGAGCTGGAGCCGGGGCCCAGCGCCAGCTGAGGGCTGGGGTCGGGGGCGGCCGGGGAGCCCGAGTTGTTGTTGAGGTCGTCGGGCAGCGCCGTGGGCGTCCCGGGGCCCAGCTGCGGCATCTGCAGCAACATCTCCTGGATGCGGATCTGCTGCAGGATGGCCGGCAACTCGTAGTGGTGGAAGAAGTAGATCATGGAATGCTGCGGGGTCAGGAGAGGCCGTGAGGCCGCCCGCCCGGCCGCCCGGCCGCAGTGAGGCCACCGGCCTGGGGACGCGGGGAGGGGTGGGGGCCTCACCTGGATGAAGAGCCAGGAGGTGACCAGGGCCAGGCTGCTGTACTGCCCGTTGAAGCGGTAGTGGTAGGCGTAGAAGGCGAAGTGGTACAGGTAGAAGAACCTGCGGGGCGGGAGAAGCTGCCCTGCCAGACAGGCCCCGCCCCCGGTCCCCGCCCCGCCCGGTCCCCGGCCCCGCCCCTCCCAGTCACCGCCCCGCCCCTCCGGTCCCCGACCCCGCCCCTCCTGGTCCCCGGCCCCGCCCCTCCCGGTCCCCGCCCCGCCCCTCCGGTCCCCGACCCCGCCCCTCCCGGTCACCGCCCCGCCCCTCCGGTCCTGGTTCCCCGCGCCCCGCGCACCTCAGCCAGTGCCGCTTGCTGGTGTTGGTGTGGCAGCAGATGGCGTCGTACTGGTCGGCCAGCCACACGATGAGGATGATGTAGAAGGCCGTGGTGGTGTCGTTGAAGAACTCGGACATGATGGCCTCCATCCCTGCGGGGACACGCGGCGGGGTTGGCGCGGGCGGGGCGGGGCGGGGGCGGGGGCGCGGCGGGGGTCCTCACCGACGAGGGCCAGGATGACGGTCAGCAGGGGCGCTGCGGGGAAGGCGATGGCCATGTTCATCTCCAGCATCTGCAGCAGGTCCACTGCGGGCACAGGGCGGCCGCCCGTGAGGGCCTGGGGAGAGCCCGCCCCACCCCCGGCCGGCCGGGACTCACCGATGAAGACGAAGATCTGGTGGTGCGAGTAGCGCAGCAGCATGGACACACTGAGGGTCTGCGGGCGGGCGGCGCGGGGCAGGGTCAGGGGCAGCCCGGCCGAGCCCAGCCCGCAGGCGCTCCCCGGGGCCAGCCACTCCCTCACTCACAAAGATGACCATGATGACGAAGGCCGCCAGGTAGGACGTGCGCGCCATCCACATGCTGACAAAGCGGTAGTGCTCCCCGGACACCACGTTCCTCAGGAAGCCTGCGGAGGCGGCGGCGGCCGTGAGCAGGGGCAGCCGCCGCGCCCCGCCCCGCCCGCCCGCCCCCCTCCTCCCGGAGCCCACCCTTGTTCTCCTCGTTCTCCGCCAGGCCCTTCACACTCGACATGAGGATGTCATCGTAGCCCAGGAACTCGTCCAGCAACAGGCGGCTAAAGCGGTCCCCGAAGCACTGGTCGCGCGTGGGGTCTGTGAGTACACGGGGCGGATACTGATCCCGGGGGCCAGGGAGCCCCCGCGGGCGGGCGGTCCCCGGCCCAGCCGCAGCCGCCCAGGACGCCCGGGGCCTCACCTAGGGTGACCACCATGACGGGGATGCTCAGGCGCTGGCGAGTGGCCTGCGACAGCCGCAGGAAGCCGTATTCCAGGGAGTACTCCACAATGTACTCGTCCTGCGGCCACACTGCAGAGACAGGGACACAGGGTCAGCTGGCCCCACCCTCAGCACAGCCCGCCACCTTCCCCGCCGCCGCCGCCGGGGACCACACACCTTTTGCCGGCGTCTCGGGGAACGGGAAGTCCTGGCTGTCGTTCAGGGCATCTGTGCCACCTGGCGGCTTGAACACCTTGGGCTCGATGTCCAGCTCAAACTGCAGGCACAGGGACCAAGCTATCAGGGAGCCTGCAGGGGGCAGTCCCCAGCGCCCACTGGGTGGGTGACCCACCGCTCACCTTGATGGAGCTATTGGTGAACATCTCCACAGTCAGCTCCTCCTCCTCCTCCTCCAGCTCCAGGCCCCCTGGCTCCAGCTCCAGGCCGCTGAGGCCCCCCTCACAGAACTGCAGGACCACGGGTGCCCGGCTTGAGTTGTGGCGCACCTCCACCCTCAGAACGCCCTCCCGCGGCCATCGATCTCGAACATGCTCCAAGCAGTTGATGGGCGACCGGGAGAAGACAATGTGTATATAGGCCAGCACAAAAAGCACAAACAGGGCCTGGGTGTGGGGAGAGGGCAGTCAGCAGGGCAGAGGGACACCCATTCTCTCCCAGACAGGGTGGCCCTGGCTGCCTGTGCTTGCTTGGGGCCCAGCTGGCCCAGGTCCCCACTGCAAGGGTTCTCTGTACCCGCTCCAGCAGTTTCGTGGACTCAAAGCTGCCTTTGGGGACCCCAACCCTACTGCTGCTCACTGACAGGGCCCTGATCTCACCGCCTAAGGACAGCCATTGTCCCCAGCAAGGCACCTCTGCCCTGTTCCAGGGACCTGCCCTGGTGGGGCCCAGGCACCTCAGCAGGACCAGGCTGCCCTGCCTGGCAAATGTAGCCTCACCTGGAAAGGGATAATGGCCACTCTTGCTGGTAACCCTGCACCCAGGAAACCCTGGGCCATGTTGGGGACTGGGGTAGCTCTTGGCATGGAATGGGTGGAAGGCAAGGACTCTGCTCAACACCCTCAGGGCCCAGGATGCCCTGCTGAGACCACCCCAGATGTTCAAGTACAGGTTAAGAAAGGAAAAAACAAAAACGTACGGGCCATGAGACGGCTCAGTTAGTACAGGTGCTTGCCACTAAGCCTGGACACCTGAGTTCGATCCCCAGGACATACACACAAGATAGAAGGAGCAATCTGACACCTGCAAGGTGTTCTGACCTCCACATGCACACTGCGGGATGCATGCTCCCACATCCATATGTATTCACACACAATAAACAAATAAAATACAATTTTTGTTGTTTTTTGTTTCCTGAGGCAGGGTAGCCATGGCTGGCCTAGAACTCACTCTGTAGACCAAGCTGGCCTGGAACTCAGAGATCCGCCTGCCTCTGCCTCCCAAGTGCTGGGATTAAAGGTGTGTGTCACCACCACCTGGCTACCAATTTTTTAAAAGTCACAGATTACTTAATATTACTTATTGACCTCAAATACCCCTATGCTGGAGCACAATCACTCAAGAGGTCCAACCTCCCCTTTCTCTACTGTGTGGGTGACTGTGGGTTGTGATCCCTTGTGGGGGGGGAGGGGGGGTTGAACAACCCTTTCACAAGGGTTACCTAAGACCACTGGGAAATGCAGATACTTTTCCATTACAATTCACGACAGTAGCAAAATTACAGTTATGAAGTCACAACAAAACATGAAGTTACCACAACATGAGGACTGTATTACAGGGTCGCAGTATCAGGAAGGTTGAGAACCACTGCCCTAACCCTATCAGATGGACGTTAGGGATGTCCTACATGTGCCATGCGCTCTGTGGGCCTGTCCAGGGTAACCCCTCCTCTACGGCCTCTACTAACGCCTTACCTTTCCACCACATCCCTGCTGGCCAGTACAGACCCGTCTGTCTACAGATCCATGAGAACCAGGATAACCCTGGCCCGATAAGGTGGTATTGAGGGTTGGGTGATGGAAGTCACCAGAGCCATGACAGTCTTGGACAGCCTTGAATGTCCAATGTATGCACTCAAATCCCTACACTCTTCAGGGACGAGACTGGACTCCCCAGCTCTAATCCCAGGAGACTCTACCACGGCAAGCAGAACAGTACCCTCCCCATCTGCTGTGGTAGCAGCGCAGGGGACATAAGGAACCTGAGGCCAGAACCAGGCAGGACCTCCCTTCTGCAGTCTGGAGACAGAGCTGGGTCAACAAAGCACCCAGCCCTCCTAGTACTGACCTGCGGGGATGCAGAGCAGGCGGGGGGGGGGGGGGCCTGGGATTGAGACCAAGGCTAAAGTCCTGAGCTAGCCACACCTAAAGCCGACACCCACCGCTGTGAACTGCGAGCCTCTCCTGGGCACGAAATGGATTTCTGTATCGAGTGTCATGAAGTCTGCCACCCCAGGCTGAGACTGGAGGCGGCGGCTCCTGCCAGCCAGGCCCAAGCCTGGGAGCAAGCAGGTCTAGAGGCAGAGGGAGGTGGCCACTGCACAGGTGGACATATCCTGGGTCCTCTTCCCACCACAGCTACTCTGGCCACTCAAGTCCCCACCTGTCACTGAGCTAGTGTCTAGCATCCCACTCAGGCCCTGGGGCTACTCCTCCGCTCATCTGCCCACTCTGTGCCACAGAAACAGGCACTCAGCTTGGTCACACTGGCCTGGGAGGGCAGCATGCTGTCACCTCCTGCAGATACCTCAGTGCCACCACCCAGGGTTCTCAGGACATCCCATACCCTATGAGCAGGTGGGTGTCTCACTGTCACCCCAGTCTGCTGTCTGGGGCTGCCAGCCTACCTGCCCAATGGGAAGACAGGCCTGTGGTGGGTACAGAACACCAGCCTCAGCCGGGATTCCAAGATCCCGGGCCACCAAAGGTCTCCACTGAGAGCAGC